TGGAGTGGTGATACAATTAATAATTACACTTAATAGGAATAATGGTATCAAAAAAGAAAAATTAATTAGCTTGATCAATTGATCTAGGTTGGTGATTTTTGTTACAGTTGTTTCTTCGTTGTATTTGATAAAGGTAGTTCCGAAATTCGTCCAAGTATAACCATTAGCACCAACTTTGGAGACAGCTGCTTTCATTATTTTGACATGCGCTGTTGTTAAATCGTCTCTTATCACTACTCCCGTTTTCTTGAGAATGTTTTTGTTACTGTAAATCATGTTTTTCATATAGTTGTTACATAACTAATAATGACCGTGTTTTTGACCTATCATGTTTTCCAATGCAATAACAGGAATATCAATATCTGGTTTACTTATACCTACACAAAACATGAATAACTTCAGAAGAATTCTGACTTTCTCGCTCTTTTATTCCATGGATTCTAAGATTTCTGTTCCTCATGAACTGCTCTTGTTTTATAACAATAGTTTTTAACGTATCTTCCTGAGTTTTCACTTTGACAAGTAATTTTTTATTTTTCTGTTTCGGTTTATCGATTTCTTTTGAAAATCTTTCGGATATTGTATCCGTTAAAGTTTTTGTCAACTGATCAAGAAACTCTGTAGAAGTACACAATTTGGCCACTAGTGTTTTCACAACTGCTTGTAGTTCATTTTCGCCCTTCATTGATGGCATCTTGCTAATAAACAATTATGAGTAGGTACTCACTCACTCCTTTTTTTTAATTCAACAATGTCCAATTAGAGTTCGTATCACCAACGATTTGTCTCCAGGCTTTTAAAATATATTTTTACGTAGTATCTAACAATATCGTCAGCAGTAGCGGCACGTCAACAGAACACGTCTACTCCATTAGGCACACCGACTATGACTGATATTCTCCCCAAGAATTTTTTCATGTCTCTAAGGGCCAAAAAATTGACTAGGTATATAATCTCAGACATGTAGGTACCCATATTTCTGAAACTCAAGAAATGTTTGCCCTTGAAATATATTGAGTAGATTTCAGATATTGTAAATAATAATAGGCTTCGTATCGTATTACTTCAGTCCCCAATTTCACTTACCTAAAGAAATGTTGATCGTAAAAATCAAGGAAGAAAAACAATCTGACAACAACGTCTCTCTTTGCTTCTCTATACCACAGGGTTTTGTGACCCATAAAGTGTGGCTAGAAATCTGTGGCTATCTTCATATTAATTGAATTTAATAGATATACCTACTGTGACTGTGTCACGAAATGAAACAAAACAATAAAATAAAACAATTGAAAAAACACTTATTTATAAGCAGAATCACCTTTCATACTACATTCCGTTAGATAGGGAAGCTATAGATTATGCTGTAGGCGACCCCTCCCGATATAGAAGGCCTCGACACTCTGTCGAATGAGGCCCTTATATGTTCCCCGTTAACGGATTAACAATTTCCTTATCCATCCCACCTCAGCCAGGTAAGGGTACACCGTGAAGGGCGGTACTGATGTCAGAGGACTATCATACGTCATCACCTTTTAGTCATGAACCCATTCGTCCTTCTGACAAAAATCAGCTACAATGGTAAGGGAGCTAGGCTCCAACCTGATTGAACTGAATATGGCTGTTGGTGGAAACTACATTACATGCTTCTTCGAATGCTGAGCAAAGTTTAGTACATGTCAATACAGCTAATAATGGATAATTAATATTTTATATAGTCTCCTCGTTATATTCAACATTAACACTGCCTCTAGCCATTGCACCAACAACTATGGCAATTGCTTCTTTAGTTATTGAATTTTTTTGGCGGAGAAAGACATGGCTATTTTTTCAAAGTCAACTGGAAGATGGTCTGTGATAGGTTAATCTATTACTTCTGCCCTTATTGAAAATTTGTGTAGAGGTTGTACTGAAACAGAAACAGATCTTAGTTTATATTCTTGCAAACCAATAACTCTGATAAAATATTTAAGGTTTTCGCATACAATATTTTAGTGTCACTATTTTTATTTGGGTTTGAAGAATATCAATTTTTGGAATTGCTTCTTGACATTTCGCTGGCGTTCAAAAACTAGTTGTTTCTTTGATCATAACTGAGAAACTCACTGAATTGTGAGTTTCTTTGAATTTTTTTTGCTCTCTTATTGAAAAACAGTTGATTTACAATACTACCATGTTTTATTATGTGTGGTAAGTTTGCACCTGTCAACAATAGGTTAGTATCATCAGCATAATTAACTATGTGAGCGGAATTTGAATTTACCACCATTTTTATGTCATTTGTAAATATAATGAAGAGTATTGGGCCCAATATACTACCCTGTAAAACTCCGATAGCCGTCTCCAAAGCTTCTGATCATGCTGCTGTATCTTTCAAGTTCAGTTGTACGATTTGCTTTCTGTTTTTTAGATACAACTTGAACCAGTCATAGGAGTTCTCTCGAATTCCATATTTGTAAAGTTTGGCTAGTAGAAGATCATGATCTATACCTACAATCAAAGGCTTTAGCTCAATGGATTTCTTTTCAAATAGGCGTGTTGGTGACTAGAAAACATATTAAAGTTCAAGAAGAAAGATGTTAGTCTTGTGGCCATTGCGTTTTCGAATAGTTTTGATATACATGTCAAAAGACTAATTGGTCTGAAATTATTAATGTCTGACCAACTTCCTTTCTTAAGTAGTGGTTTTGCAATATCTGTCTTCAAATCATCAGGAAAAATTCCTTGCTCGAATGACATATTTATCAGAAGAGTTAAAACACTAACTATTTAATATATACAACTTTTTTAATGATAAGTATTGGAACATCATCAATTCCACAGCTCTTTTTGTTTTTCATATTTTTTATACTTGCTATTAAATCATTTTCTGTGACTGGACTCAAAAACAAGGTGTGACTATTGGATGCTATCAACTTCTCAAAACCGCTCACTTTACTGATATTATTTTGTGTTGACAAAATTTTGAGAGCTGAATTTGCAAAATGGTTGTTAAAATTATTAGCCATTTCTACCGGATTTTCAGTATATATCTGATTACAATGCAGTGAACCCGTTTCTTCTTTAATTATCTGCCACATCATTTTGGTTTTGTTGTCTGATTGTGCAATTCTCTTCCTATAGTAATCTTTCTTGGCGTTTTCTAGTAGATTATTATAGTTGATCTTCAGTTCCTTGTAAATTTATTTGTACTGATGATCAATGTGAGATATTGATTGATAGAAAACTAGTTTGTTTTTCATATGACTAATCTCCGGTGACATGAAAAATTTACTTTTAGTCAACTTCTTTTTCTTACATGATTTTGAAAAATAGAGATTGAAATAGAAGTTGAAAGTATTACTGAAGGATGAGAATGCTTCATTCAGGTTTTCTGCATTGTAAAGATTTGACCAATCCTCGGAAGCTAATTTTGTTCGAAATTTCAGGATTGATTCCGGATTATAGTATCGTTTCTGGAAGTGAGGTGAGTTTGATTCAGTATATTGCAGAGCAAGAGCTGCCCAGAATGATCAGAAATACCGGTTTGTATGACTATTCCTTTTTTGAATCCATCCAAATTTGTAATAATATTATCTAAGCATGAACTAGAATGAAAAGTTACCCTTGTTGGTTCCGAAATAGTTAAAGTAGCATTGTAGCTGGCCAGCAGATGTCTGAAATCTCTGCAAGCCTTCGTTTTTTGACATAAAAGGTCCACTTTCAATTCACCTGCAATAAAATATACACATTGTTCTTGAGATGTCCATTACATGTTGAAATTTAGATGAAAAAATGCCTATATCACTTAATGGTGATCTATATACACAGACTATGATAAATTTGGTGCCGCCTGCTATTTTGCAAGCTGCGCTGGAGCATTCAAAAGTAAAATCCTCTGAGAGAGCGTTAATTTCATCAATTCATCGTGTTAGGAATCACACGTTAAAAGGTAAGACCTCGTTAGTCCTTAGCTCGCACAAGTTTCTCAACTTCTGAGAATTGTCGTTCGGATTAACGAAAAAACAGATTTTAAACAGAATGGGACTACCGGAGATACTCTTCATCACATAAATTGCTGAACCTCCATGTTTGCCTTCCTCTCTGCAATGGCTCGATATTAGATTGAGATCATCAATAGTATAGTGTTTTAGTTTATCCCATGTTTGCCAGTGCTCTGTTATGCATAGAACAGAGCAAGTAAGATTCTGACTTCTTGGAGCATATTCACACTGTTTTCTAGAGACTGTACGTTGTGGTGCATTAGGAAATTTTTCATATCATTTGGATCTTGTTCATTTGATTCTTTTCTAAAAAAGACTCTGCTTGGTAAATGTTATTTGTTCGAGTTTCCACAGTTTCAGGAAGATTTCTTCCTCTCCTAAAATCGAAGCGTTCAAAGCCAATATTCTTTGGCCAGAAATTTGGATCATATTATTCCTCTTTCAAGCCTGATGCTGCCCCTATAATGAAGGATCGGTTATTCCTTCTTAAATTAAGTGTGTGAAGTTTTTTGACTTCCACTTCATTTCCAGAATCCTGATTTTTGGAAATATGTGTTTCAATATATTCCTTGATGTTTTCTTCCATTATGTTATCGGGAACTTTTGTAACAAATAACCATATTTTTTTCTGTTTATCATTTACACCTTTAAAACTGATGTCCCCATCGCCTCTTCCATAATTGATCTTCCGGCGATTACTTTTCCTGATGACTTGTTGAAAACCTTCAGTGTCACATTCATTTCCTTCCTGAAGGTTAATTATATTGGACATGATACTCCTTTGGGCGTTTTCAAGATGAATAGTTTCGTGTGATCTGTTCTTGGGTCTCGTTTCACAATTAGTGCCACCCTGTATGATGCTAGGTTGGGTTTCAATGTTAGTGCTATCCTGTACCTTGTTTACAATTTCTGAACTTTTTTCCAGGGTTTCTTTTTTATCTGCAAAAACAGATTTTTTGTGCTCCTGACTTGTTGAAAGACATGGATGGCTATTTATTGATGAATGTCTTTCTTCTAAAAATGTTATTTTCTGATTCAGTAGCTGTATTATTTTTTTTTTGTCGGCAATAATGATGTCTTTGTCGGTCAGAATTTGCCTGAGTAATTTGTTTTCTTGTCTCAAGTATTCTTCCTCGGAGAGATGTATGATGTCCTCAGTTTGTCTGTCAGGTACATGCTTGCATTCTGCTTTATTTTGATCGCTAGACTGCTCGAGACATTGATGAATTGTATCAGAAAGCCAAGATCCTATATCACGTTTGTTACTTTTCAAAACATGTGTGTGATCTTTATGCTGAGCATGTCAATACAGCTGATAATGGATACTCAATAATTGATATAGTCTCCTCAATATAATTGGCATTAACTGCCTCTAGCCATTGCACCTACAACTATGGCTATTGGTTCTTGGTTGAATTTCATAGGAGGAAAAAGACTTGGCTATTGTTTAACATCAACTGGAAGATGGTCTTTTTGACATTAAATGCCTCTAGCCATTGCACCTACAACTATGGCTATTGGCTCTTGGTTGAATTTAATAGGAGAAGAAAGGCATGGCTATTTTTTAACATCAACTGGAAGATGGTCTGTGATAGAATCTTTTATTTTTTCATCAATTTCAGCCCACCATCCTCCATTATTGAAAATTTGTGTAGAAGTTGTACTGAAAGAGAAACACATCGTAGCAACAAAATACGTATAACCAAAAAATCAGTCAGTTTAACAAATAGTATTAAGCTTCTATTCTTGCAAACAAATAACTATGAGTTTGAAAACTAGGTTGTTTCTTTGATCATGACTAGGGCACTCGGTAAATGTGCCCAGTTACGTCTCAAAAACTAGTTCCTGTTTCTCAATAGAATATCAAAATACCTTCAAATTTGCTTTTTTAAAATGTAGTACCAGAATGCGTTCCTCGCCTCATTTTAATTATCAGGCCTACATATGGATCCATTGAAGTCACATATGTGAGAGATGGTCGCAATTCAGTAATTCAAATTTATTGCCTACCTGAAATGAATTATATACGATTTTCAAAATGAAAATTTATTTTTATAGCTACCGTGACACTTTTCAGTTATGAAACGTTTTTCTTAATTCTTCAAATGAGCAACAACCGAATGTTTGGGTACGGAATCAAATTCTATTCAAACTTAACTTTATTTTGAAATACACCCCTCTTTTGGACTACATTTTGTAATTGAATCTCATTTGTTGGATTATTCCTATCCTGTTATTTTCATAAAAGGTATAACTGGAATCTCTGACATAAAATAAGAAGCACTTTTCTCAATCACCAAAACTACAATATTTTTTCCGACGCGCGTTTCCCCAACCGAATTGAAATCTTCAGTAAATGAAGACTCATGCTCATGCACGGTGGCCCTTGTTTCGGTGGAGGTGGAAAACTAGAATCACTGGATATAAACGACATGTATATGGGAATGATATGAAAAAATAAATATTTTCGCTAGCTTTCAGTTCGTTTCATTTGTAATCACATAGATGGTGTTCTAATATATAAAAAATAAAGATGATTATAGTAGTCAAGTTCAGTGGAATGTAGAAATTTCACAGTTTTGAAGAGAATCCAAGAATGTTGCATTTTTTATTTTCGACCACGGATTTTAGGTTCTTTTGATGTTTATTTCTGAAAGTGTGCAAAAAATTCATTTAGAAAAAATAGGGTCAATCTGGACAAAGTCAAATAATCAAATATAATTTGTATTCACCATTTCCAACTTTTTCTATTATTCTCTTCATTTATTGCAACTAGTTTTTCTCTCAGCACGTTTTATTTATCGTCGTCACCTTTACTAAAAAGAGTCCAACATATATATTTCAGAGTCGACAATTCATATTCAAATTTAAAAACCCGTAGTTATTGATTCATAAACGGTTACTGTCAAACAAAAGAGAGAACGTGGGATCGAAAAATACTCCGAGCCACCACGAACAAGGAAAATAATCGGACAGCATGCACACAGAACACCCTAGTTAGTGTTCTGTGGCATGGATCTACGGTCCCATCAGATCGGGCATTTCCTTCAGAGTAATAATAAGACATAGAGTTGCCATGCCTATACCAATACATGTATTTTGAAACGGGTATCTGACTATCCTTTTCTGTGGTCGAGGGGGAGTAGCGGGTAATGAAAGGTTATGGAGAGTTTGTTTACATTTGAAGTATGTGGGACCATAAAACAGTGGCGGTTGGTTTAGTTGATAATCGGAGGGATATTATATATTTATAAANTTTATCCTTCAGAAAACCTCAGTATTCTCTGTACAATGACATGTGAATATCTGCTAACTCATAAAGAGAGACGAACTTCGTATTTAATAATCGAATACGCTCATTTCATAGATGAAAGGATGAGATCTGGCAACGTCTATCATTCGGCAGCCTTTTGAGAACAGGTAAAATAACCTTCAAAGTTCATCAAGTATCTTGAGTTTTCGAGCTAAAGAGCATGCGCTTTAATGATATTGAAGCGAATCTAATTTGGCGCATCTTTTCCAACTTTCAATATTCAAACTTATGTTTGAGAGAGTAGTGTTTAACAGTGGGCTGTGAATTTTCTCAGTTTTGTCTGCTCGTTGTCAAGTGATTATAAACAAGATTTTTTTTGAAAAAAAGGAGCCGTGAAAAATCATGTAAAAACTTTATTATAATATTAATTAATAAGTGGAACGTTTTGAATAGTGTGTTATATAAATATAAGATCAAAAATGAATCTTCCCCAAGGAGTTATGTTTCCTACCGGATCTCTTTATGTTGGAGACCTTCATCCAGACGTAACAGAAGCGATGCTGTATGAGAAATTCACCACTGCAGGACAAGTTCTTTCCTTGAGAATCTGTCGCGATACCAGAACCAAACAATCTCTAGGTTACGGATATGTGAATTTTAGTCAAACTCAGGATGCAGAACGAGCTCTAGATACAATGAATTTTGACCTTCTCAAAGGCAAACCAATTCGCATAATGTGGTGTCAGAGAGATCCCGCTCTGAGGAAATCTGGTGTTGGAAATGTATTTATCAAGAATCTTGACAAAAATATAGACAACAAAGCAATGTATGACACTTTTTCTGCCTTTGGTAATATTCTGAGTTGTAAAGTGGCTCTTGATGATAATGGATACTCCAAAGGCTATGGATTTGTTCACTTTGAAGTTGAAGAGGCAGCCAACAAGGCTATTGAAAAAGTCAATGGAATGTTACTGAATGACAAGAAGGTTTATGTCGGCAAGTTCATTCCAAGAACTGAAAGAGAAAAAGAGTTAGGAGAGAGAGCAAAGCAGTTTACAAATATTTACATTAAAAATTTCGGTCCAAATATGTCAGACGATAAATTTTATGAAATTTTTCATAAATTTGGAATCATTACCAGCAGTGTGGTAATGAGGAACATTGATGGATCTTCCAAGGGATTTGGTTTTGTTGCTTTTGCAGATGCCAAGTCAGCCGAAAAAGCTGTGCAAGAGTGGAACGGCAAAGAACTTGATGAAAATACTTTATATGTAGGACGTGCACAAAAGAAAACTGAACGCATAAATGAATTGAAAAAAAAATATGACCAATTGAGATTGGAGCGTTATAGTCGGTTCCAGGGAATAAATCTATACATCAAAAATTTAGATGACAGTTTTGATGATGAAAAACTGCGTAAAGAATTCACCACTTATGGGACTATAACTTCTGCCAAAGTAATGACCGAAAACGGCAGAAGTAAGGGGTTTGGTTTTGTTTGTTTTACATCACCAGAAGAAGCCACCAAGGCCGTTACAGAAATGAATGGAAGAATGGTTGGAAGTAAACCACTTTATGTGGCTCTAGCCCAAAGAAAAGAGGATCGAAGAGCCTTCTTAAATAGTCAGTATTTGCAGAGAGCGCAGGCCCTGAGGCAACAAAGCAGCATCACTTTTCCTACAACCACTCCACCTTTTCTCATACCAGCAGTAGCTCAGGGGCCAAGATTTTTCAACCATTTGAATCCATTGAATCATATTAGGCCTGCTGCTCGCTGGCCAGCCCCAAACACGATTCGACCTAATGGGACATACAGTTTGTCAATGCTCAATTCTCCGTATAGAGCAAACTCAAGATCATCCATCAATGTGCGTAATAACATGCATGCTCGACCCATCACCGGTCAGCAGACTCCTCCTTCTAGACCCAACAGCAAGTTCACCAGTGCCACCAACAATACCATGAGGCCGATAAACATCAGCATTGGAAATGGTGGTGATATTTCTATAAATGCAAACACCTTAGCTGGAGCAGCCCCCCAAGAGCAAAAACAAATAATTGGAGAAAAACTGTTCAGAGTTGTGGAGAAAATGTACCCGGATATTGCAGGAAAAATAACTGGAATGCTTTTGGAAATTGATAATACTGAACTTATTCATATGATTGAAAACAAGGACTCCCTCAGAGCTAAAGTTGAAGAAGCAATTGCTGTTCTTCAAGCCCATCAAGCAAACACCAAAAAGGGAATTGTAGTGCAAGATTAATTTTTACTTAGTTGTATTCATTGCATATGTTTTGATTTTATTAGTTACTACTTTCAAAAAGTTACAAAAACATTTTACAATATGTTCCAGAACTTTTTAGGCAAACCAATGTTTTAATGAAACATTGAAAATAAAAAAATGTATATGCTCTTTTGATTTGACCGTTATTTTTATTTTAGGTGTATATTCATGAATTTTATGGATTGTTTCAATAAATAAATTAAATCAAAAGTTTTTCAATTTGCTAGTGAAAAATTTACATTATGAAAAAACATCCATAGATGAAAGACATTACATAAACTCGAGATATAAATTCAAGAGTGAACTTTTTAACTCTTCCTCAAAGGAGAAAAGTTTTTGATAATGGAAGAGATATATATGATATGAAATGTATATGTCCTAAAACGAGATTTTGATACAAGTGGCCCTCTTTCTGATGATGAAATATATTATGTGAATAAATTTGACTCATCAAAAGACAATCACTACTTAAAAATAGTCAACCAATGCACAATAATAGTAAGTGCAATAGAATAATAGTAGTGCTTATAGAAAATGCACCATTTAGTCTACTACAAATAACACAGATATATGCATTCACAAGAGCCTCACATCCACAATCCATACGGTAGGTTACTATATTTCGTTTTCAAAAATAAAAATTGAATTATTTGAGGGTAGAAAAATCAGTTCATGATCTTTTTGGTGGTTTCAATCAAATATTTACCGAAGATATGAAAAATAAATATACTGGTACCTAACTTAGAAGCACTTGACAAATCAGTAATATGCAATCTGTTGGTATCGTGATAAAAGATCAAGTGAGGCCAATGAATATTGATAACAGGAAAATTATTTTATCTGTTTTTCTTTTACCATTCAATGGTAACTGTAATGAGCTAAATTGCAATCTAATAGCATTAGAGACACAAGTATGTTGTACATTGGTGGAAAACTGTAAGATGGCTACAAAAGAAGGCGGCCAAACTCATCATTGGTGATGCGTATGCTTTCCAATGAATTGATTTCTAAAGTAGAGAAGAGATTTTGGAAAGAACCTGAAGATTTTATCATGTCTACGAGATCATTCAACTTCAGAAAATAATTATGGAATAGTCAGAAAAATATTGATTTTTCAATAGAGAAACCAGATTCACATATTTATTGTGATGGACATGATTAGGGTTTTTTTTTAAAAGGGTTAACTAAAAGTGTAATTAAAGAGGTACCAGAGTCAGACCTACTCCAAAGTCACTATTTGTCAGTTTCATCAAAATTATTTGATGAAATCAAGTACAATCTAAGGGGGTGAGAGTATTAGATACTCTAAGTTTATGCAGACTATACACTGTTATGTTTGTCACTTATAGAGAAAAGTCATGTATTGAAAATTATTGGAATATATTTGTATTTTATTCATTGTCCTAGGACTAGTCTGTAGTACATGTAAAACACCATTTTGAAACATTTCCAACATGTATGGACGACTTTCATCTACTAATTTTTTTAAAACGATCAAAATTGATATCATTAAATTCTTTCCTTTCCTAGATATTTTCTTTGAACTACCAAGACAGTCCTAATTCTTTCAAATTTCATTGCCTTATCCTTCTTTTTTTCAAGTATTCGAATGGATTAAAAAACAATGATATTAACTACTAGTTTGTATAAACAAAAATATAATATCTGAAAGGAAACATACCATACTGAAGGTTTCATTTTCTGTATTCATAGAGAACATTTTTGATTGAATAATAATAGTATTTTCACTATATTACAGAATAGATACAACTATTATCAAAAATAATAACGATGAGATTGGAACCTTTGGTGTGAAAGTTGAATAACTATTTCTATTGTTGTTTGGTTGGGTTTGTGTATCACTTGCGAGGATTATGAAAAAGCAACTGCTTCTTGTTGAGTTGGGCCTCACCAAAACTTGAAAATTATTTTTTATGGAACTGACCAGTATTTATGAGCTCTACAAATAACAATGTTCAGTTCCTTTGTTAGTTCACTGCACAAAGTTTTCACATGATGACCAGTATAACTTAACGTGAATTTCCCAGTACATAATCTCAGAAAGTATATAGAAATTTTTCGTTCGAGTTTCCTGCTCTATTATATTGAACTTTTTACTCATTTGGAATAAAAATAATAAAAAGACTTCCCCTTCACTAAATTAACGTCACTCCACATTCACATTAAACCGTTGGAATGAAAAAATAAGATTATGTCCAATGTTGCCAACTCAATTAAGTTGTTTTTGCGCGAGATTGATATTGAATATGCACAAAATCCGGTAGGTAGGTACACAGAACATGAAAGAATAAGAGGAGATTTAGTCAATCTCTTTGAACAATTCGTTCGATTAAAAATTTGATACTGAAAAGTAATGAGTCGGAGATACTCTGATACAAGCTGAGACAAAGCGGCATAGCGTAAAATATGAAAAAAATTCGTAAAAGACAGTAAGCACATTAAATGTTCGAAGACATTGAAAATACGCAGACTTTGCATTGTTTTTCATTTTCTGCTTTTTCACTTCTCATTGTCGATTTTGGATCAAGTGAAATAAAGCTATCGAGCTAAGATCAACTTGTGACCTTTGACTGATGCACATAACATACACAACAGAAGAGGTGGTTTTTGTCAATCCATTTTGATTATTTGCAAAAAAAGTGTGCAAATTCAGTTATTGTTAACACACACTTTGCGGTAACATTACTCTGCAGGAGCAAAATGAAAGGATGCAAAAGGCACAGAAAATACGCAAAAACTAAAAAACGCAAGAAATACGCGAAAATAATGAAAATGCACGAAAATAATGAAAATGCGCGAAAATAATGAAAATGCGCATATTTCGCGCATTTTTCGCCTCATTAGTAACACTAGTTATGTCTTCAAAAAGTTTATATCTGACGAAGAGTAGGGGTTATGTGCTGTCATAATTTCAAGCTTCTGGATGGGTGGATGAGTTATAGAGAATTTTGGCAACATTTCCATTCGATTTTCCTTCTCCTTTCTTATTCGCTCCTCTGAAAATGTTTTTTGGCAATGGGTCACTATATAAAGGGGGTTGCGAAATGTCATCATTTTCGAATGACATTTGTGGCTGTATATGACGGTCACTACCAAGTGATTGGTCGAATTCATTGTCCAATGATTCTGAATTCATTGGTGTGAAAAATAAAAAATATGAGCAATAAGTAATAGATGTTAGCCTTGGTCCTGGTTGAAGTTTTCTATAGTATTTATACAGAAGTATAAACCTTGCTTTCCACTGAGCCCTCACAACAAACAAAATGCTCCTTTAGTCGTTTCACATAACGGCCACGATCTTTTTTGGTTATAACGAAAACGTCACTCATGACGTCATTACTTTCGCTCAAGGCAAGCTCAAACAATCCATCTCCATCATTCAACCTCATAAATTGATCAATGGAATAATTACTAACTCATAATGAAGTAAATTCAAGAGTAGCATATATTTAGAGTATAATTTAGGTTTGCAATTAGACATGGCACTTTCCAAATCTACAGTGTAATGTGTGACACAATTGTATCATAGAAATGATACAAAATCAGAAGATTTTAATACTATCTTCCACATTTCATTTATTTGAAAGTTCAGAATTTCAGAAAATGAACATTTGAAAAAATATATTTTTTTTTCGTTATCCAGCTATTCCTTTTTTTAGCTATATTGTACATACTATGTAATTCAGGGTATTGAGATTGTAACTGATGCAGGTCCTTCAATTGCATACTAGATTGTTTAACGTAATCTGTAACCCATTTCTTGTGTCGATTCTTTTTAATGTAACATTTTTTCAACGGAAAGTAAGGCTCAAAGTGGAAAAGGAAAATTTTCATAAAAAAGTTAAAGGCATTGTTTATGTCTAACATGTCAAAAATATCGGTCCAGTTTTCTTGAAAAAGCGCTCTATTGAAACCTAGAATCGCCTGGTCATTATAATTTCTCCTCATCTGAAAAGAGTAATTCTCTACAACTATCTGTTCGGGATACTCGAATAGTAAAGTTCTATGGTCTGATATATCATTATCAATTACACAGACAACCGAATCATTCCAGCTTGTAAATATATGATCTATTATGGTGGATGAGTGGGATGTTACTCGTGTAGGCCATTCAACTACTGAAGTCATATTAAAACTATCTAAAATATTGCATAGCTTATTAAACTGATTTATATCTGCTGAATTGACAGAGGAGTCAATGTTGAAATCGCCAACCAAAGTTATATGATAATCTGGTCTATACACGTATTCAAGGATCCTTAAAATTTGATCTAAAAATATGTTGATACTTCCACTAGGAGAACGATAACAAGTTTAAATATTATTTTGGTCAGATTTATACGACAGACCATATACAATGCTAACACTGTCAACACCGCGTCTTCTCGCGGTGTTGGCGAGTACCTCAGAGTAACAAAAGATAAAAAGAGAAAGATAAAAAAGCAACTTTGTAAATATTAATTTAATCCTGGTCATTCCTGGTTTGCAATAGAGCGACTTATAGCGGATCGGCGCGGCGGCTGCGCTCGGGAGATCGTGCATTCCATTGCGTCTATCAGGGCTTTGCACCTTTCTATAATCGGTAGACTTATTGTTTCAGTTCTCTCATAAACTAAAGTATTTGAGAAAAAATTTCAGCCTTGTAGAAATAAATCAAAAAAATTAATTTCTGAACACGAATTTTGTTTGCTCTTCTTTATTTTGAACAAGTTTTTTGTTAATTATTGAATATAATATTTTTGTTTTATCCGTATGACTCCGTAGTCATTGAGCAGAAATAGATCAATATCGAAGCTAAATGGGTTTTCGTTATCGACATGCCCATTGATAATATCGATAGGTTTTTGTTATATGTATGTTATTGGGTTTATGTATGCATTTTTGTGGTCGTCGTATCTTTGGATTAGTTTTTTCTTGGTTTGGCCGATATAGAATTTGTTGCAGTCTGAGCATTGTATGCTGTACACTCCGTTTAGGTTTTAGTCTTCTTCTTTTTCATAGCTAATTATTTTTTGTATTATTTTCGATATAAATCAAACCTCGCAATACACGCCATACAAAACAAACATAACTTTTCCCCACCAGAGAACATAAAAATCATAAAACAAGTCAATAAAGGAAACCGTATGGACATCTGGGAAAACTTAAGCATCCATAAATTTAAAAGTCATAATTCACTTATCGAGGAACAAATACAAATCAAAACACAAGACCTAACATTCAATATACTACACAATACAATATACATTCCTAGAAACAGTGAACCTAGAGAAAATCCAACACAAATGATATTACCTGATGTAACCCAAATACAGGCAAATTTACCTATAGTAACTGCACTAAGGCGTTCTGACCGCATAAAACAACAAACAAAATCACTCATCCTCCTGGCGAGAGACAGTCGAAAGGATACGGGAAGAGATTTTCAACCTGAACAAAATCAAGATGGATTTCGTGAAACGTTCAGTTCGAGTAGAGCCTTGAAGATGATAGCTCATCCAGCTATCGAAAGCGCTCAATAGAGGTTCTAAAGCTACAAATCCTTTTTGTGAGAGTTCTAGATCTATTAAGTTTTTGAATTCGTTGTCGTTGGTTTCTATGATCTGTTTGGTCACACCGTGACAGGAAAAAATTGTATTAGATAGTCTACGATTGCTATTTCGTTCACAGATATTGAGTAATATGCCTGGGTAAATTTATAAAATGTGTCTTATTATAATTAAAACTTTTCTTTTTCTAAGGTGAAGCTATCCGAAAGAATTATTTGAAGATTTTTGCAGTACAACGGTACGGGTTATGTTCACTTACTGTGGTTCTGGCGTTGAATCCGGTCATTATTACGCCTTGGTCAAAGACTAAACGGACTGGTTTAAGTTTGACGATAGTCGTGTCACTAAATATTATGACAGAATCTTGAATTTATTGAAACTCTGGAGTTTCTACATTATATTCTATGAAAGAGAGGACATTGGCAGATCAAGAACTTCCGGGTTTTCCTGCAGCGGAAAAAGCAAATGCGCCACTGGAATCCTTCAAGTCGCCACGGAGGCCAGTTAATTTTTGTTGTCGTTTCATAATTTCATAATATGTATTACTTTTTTTATATGAATACAATAAAACTCCAATCTGAAATGTTATTTATAGTATTTTCCTGATATGTACAGTCTCGGACTGTTCGGATTGATTTAAAGAGTTTCAAATCATCAGCAAAAAGAAGACAGTCTATATATTTCAGAGTTGACTGTAAATCATTGATGAAAATTATGAACAGAAGTGGACCTGGATTCGATAGTGATACACCTGAGCTAGCTGGACATTTATCTGAAATTTTTTCGTTATGTTTGACAATGAAAAACCTATTTTTAACATAATTCTTCGTTAGTTCCATTTTTTTTTAAATTCCATATTTACTCAATTATTATGAAATTTGTTTTCAGATTTCTTCACTTTATTTGGTTGCCCAGATATGGCCATTATAGGTACATACATACATATAGATAGAGCTAAAGGCTATTCTTAATTAAAAATATTTGCGGCCACTTTTTCAATGGCAACCTGTCATTAATGAACTCTCTTATTCATTGATGTGTGTAAAATCTGAGTTTGGTTAACTACGCTATAGACGTAGTGATTGTACAGCGGGATCCTAGACTAATTGTTCAATAATTTCTTGTTTTTAAGTGGCGTCTATGAGTTTCGAGTTCTTTTTTTTTATTTCAGTGATGGTTATTTAAATTTTTGTTCTGTATTATATTATATTACTGAAAAGCGTTCGTAATCATTGAGATTTTCGGAAAACAAGTGATATTGAACATTTGGGGATACATAAGTACCTTCTCCATAACAAATTTGATAACGCCTATTTCAAATTTAATTGAGGTGAATGTAAGCAAAATATTCCGTTTTCTTTTCGAATAAAATTATGAGTTTTGTTTTGGTAGGACGGCATATGGTTGAACTGAAAATTATTTGACCATAATAAATGTTGATTGCCCCGAAATAAGTCACTTGTGAAACTGAAATAATTAAACTGAAATGATGTCCATTGTCATAAAAACCATCTTTGAGATCTGTAATGACAACAGTGAATGGAAATGAAATTATTGCAACAAATTAAAGAATTAACTGTCTTAAACAAATTTATTTCAACAATATTTCACT